AACGACAGCAACTTGTCTGTTCCCCTTCCCCCAATTCCCCAGCGCTGTTCCCATCCCCCCAATTCCCCAATAAAAATCTTAAAAAAAAAAAAAAGAAAAACGATGGATGGATAGAGCAATGGATAGAGGAAGCAAGTGTAGTTAAATGTTAACAGTGGTGTGTATATATAGGTCTTTACTGTAAAATTCTTTTACCTTTTCTGTATGTTTAAAATTATTCATAATAAAATGTTGGAAATAAAAAACGGATAATGGTGGAATACATTTGTAGTAATTGAAAATAACGTTTTTGAAGAACATTTAAAGATATTAAGCATGATTATGTAAAATAAAATGTAAGAAAAAAAATCCTAACTCATAGAACAAAAAGCTTTACATAGGAACCACCCAATACATTTGGCTTTGAAATACATAAGATCTTTTTAGCAGACTTACTTTCCGAACTACAACTTTATTACAATCAGTGTGTAATCCCTAAGGATAAACCAAATGGAAAGAAAGGAAAAATGGTTAAGACTGAAACATGGGAGAAGCAAAAAGATCTGGTGTTTTGAAACTGCTGTGTGTAAGTTGGTGCGTGAACAGCTTAGTGACGGAGTATCATCCTACTTGTGGAGTGATGCTTTTGTTTCCACAGTTGTGGTACCCATTCACATGCCCATGGGCACTGGTGAGAGCTCCGGATGCTCCAATTCCTGGCCCACTTTCACTTTTTTCCCATTTTGGCCATTTTCTTAGTATACTTTGCTTTTCTTCTGTAATGTTAACTCTGAGGAATTAAAAACCTATGTGAGAGTTTCCTAAGCCTGACACGATCAACTCATTTATTCTATAACCTTGGTATTTTTATTGCATTCACCTACTTGTAAGTAATGTGACAAGAATGATGTATCCAGATGAGTTTGTTGAACCTCTGGTGGCCACTGGAACACAGCTGTAGTCCCACATGAAAACTCTGGTCTGCTTCTTGTACAGGGACACGACGAAAATATCTGTATTTATAGTCAAGTGGTTTCTGTAAAAGAAAAGATCCATGACCTATATAGTGAAACCTCACCTCACTGTTATGCGTGTGTGTATACAAATATTTATAGGAACATATTATGCAAGAGTGACACTAAAAGTAACTTTGTATCTGCATATAGTGAGTTGTCTTGGATATCAAATGAGGATGTGCATGAGTGTCTTAAAAAATGGTTAGCACTCTAAAAATATAATAAGGTTTGATTTCCTTAATCATCTCAGTTAATCATCACAATAATGCAATTACTAAATACGATTGCATTATTGTTATTTAATGGCTGAAGGAAGGTCAAACGAGTTAACCAAAGTTACACAGCAGTTTCAGATGGCAATACAAACTGTCTCCCAACTTGAAGCCTTTCCTGAAATACTTCCTTGAAGTAGTTCCTTCTACTTAAAAACACTTAGGAATTTCTAGTGAGAAAGTTATACAGTGGTGAAAGCTGCAGAAAAAGCACAGAGTACAACTGATTTTTTGCAATAACAGTAAAATAGTCAATGGAGAAACAGATGTGAAAAAAATTCATTAGAATCATACTTCTGCAAATACTGCTGCTAAAAACACAATATTAACATTACATATGGTTTCACTGTATTATATTCTGAAGAGAAAACGATTGCTCTATGTGGGATTTCCTAAACTCTTCTGTTAGATAAAACCGAAACAAGGGCCTCACAACTCCCCAGTTCTGATCTCAGGAAACTCATGGCCAAGGTCATAGTCATAGCAACTATCTCTGCCCCTCAGACTGCTGCCCCAGATTCCAGAAGCCTACCAGAGCCAGGCGGAGAAGCCAGCAACAGAAGGCCACAAGGTGATAGGACTAGGGTTCACAGAGAAACCCTGCCCTATCTTGACACATGATGCTAGAGAAGAGAGGGTGATTCAATACCAGGAAACCAACCTTCTTTCAAAGCTTATAATCATTTATAAAAGCAATGGACAAGTATTCCAACTCCCTCACAACTGACTTCTTGGGTATACATTATCGTTTTTAACCAGAATTGAAGAAAATGCACATTGAGAAAGGTTGTGAAAAAAAATTTGGCCCTCAATCTGTTAAAAGAGTTTAAAGCCCTCTAGAAGGTAATAATTCAGTGATCATATATGTTTAGATATTTTTTTTTCTTTTCCAAGAACAGGAAGAAGGAAATTATCTTATATTAGCTTATTTCCAGAAGAAACTGAAATTCTCTGTAAGAACATCTTTATGAAAGAATTATCTATTTGAGCTAATTTAGGAAGAAAGTCCCTTACGATTCAAAATGAGTCAAAAACCATATTCAGGCATGATTTTACTAGTTATTTTACAGGAATTTTGATTTACATTTTCATATGTGAAAAACCTGGACCAGAAAAAGAAGCCATTTGGAGAAAAACAAACTGATTCAATAAGAAATAACCACATTTTGGAAAATCTTCCAGCTCTCTTCAGAGATATGCTGTAAGTCAACGTACATTTTGTGTAACAGTATAAATAATGAAACAGTATCTCTTTATCCTTTCTAATCAAGAATGCTTGAATGAACAGGGTATTAAAATAAAAAGAAAACCGTTAATTCTACCGCGCATACTTACTTCTTCTTTTTTCTTAGTTATCACAGCAAATACTTTGGTCTGATTGTCTGTATCTTGTGACAAGCGATAGTGACCCAGCAGAATTGCATCAGTTCTAAAAATTAAAAAATGTACTTTAAATCGAAGTCTATTAACCAGTTATTATGTGTCTTTAAGTAATCCGGGAAGTAATGGATTATAATAGTGTTTACACAACTTGTCTGAGAAGAATCAACTGGGATGTGAGTAAACCTAGTTTCCAAGACCCCAGAGACCTGCTGAAGTACACTCTCTAGGGAGAGGCCAGGAATTGGTATTTGTCACAAATGCCCTCCCAATGATTGCTTTTTAAATCATCCAGTAGTAAATTAAGAAAGCACTGGACTACAAGTAACCATATAAAATGTGAGCTGGATAGAAAATAACAGAAAAATACTACCTGGCATTCCGAGTTCTTAAACGAGGAACGATGGACTGAGGCTCCTCGGGGGTTGTCAACATCATCACGTGGCCATCAGGAAAGAATCTTATGTACCTGTGTAAAAAGAAAAAACACCAAAAAAACCACACACACATAGAGTATAAATCATGTCCTTATTTACTGGTACCTAAACCGATTTGTATCTGTGACACCAAAATGGAAATACCATGGGCCAAAGAACTGGCAAAACATTACAACATGTCTGCCAACCTGTGAGGCCAGCAACAAAAAACTAAAGGCATTTTATTATCTTTTTTAGAGGGAACAATTGAACTTTTAGTTTCACTCACTGAATAAAAAATTAGATTAAATATTACTCTATTACAGTTCTGTATGTTTTTTCCTAAAGCACTAATTAATGTCAAATAAAAGTGGGATCTCATAATAATATACAGTGGTTAACATATCTATTGGGTTGTTGGAAAAGTCATGACACATTTTTGCAATGAAAAACAGAAAAAATACGTCGTTACTTTTCCGACAACCCAATACTTACTTCTCACCGACAGTAATATCTGATGAATAATAAGGCTGAATAAGAGCACAAGCCACTTGAAAAGGCAAGTGAATACAACTAGGGCAAAAGACAAGGAAGAGCTCTAAAACGTAAAATGATTCTTAGATTTAGAGGCTAAGAGAAATTAAACAATTTGTTGTAACCCATTGGTTCTTTGACTGCATTTTCTCTTATAAGATTGGATAAAAATACTGAGGGCCATTTTGTGGATCAATGCAAAAGCCACAGAACAGATATCCCATAACTAATGAACTAATACTTGGAGAGAGAGAATTTTTCACTCACTCAGTTTACTACAGTTGTACCTGTAATATTCCACTTGGTGCCAGGCTCTATAGAAACCATCAAGAGACTGTTCCCCTTGACGAATATATGTGGTTTTACTGATATACACTCCTATAAAAAAAAGAACATTTAAAAAAATTCAGAACAAAATAAAAATTTTAAAGAATTATAATCAAATAGCACGTTTCCAGCTTCATTTTTATTGTGGTTTCAGTACTTAGGTCTGGTAAGAAAACTAAGAGTGTGTATTGATCAAAATCAGCATGAAAGATCACTATTTCTCCTGAATTCTAAAGGATTCAACTTACCATCAAAACGAACACGGGGCCTTTCTAGAAACATCTCTCTCCAGGATGTGTATGGAACAAATTTAATACAGCTTCTGCCCCAAACTTTCAAGCAGGCCAAACGCCATATTTCAGGGTCCCTAGGTAATAAAGGCACAACATCAATCCATATAAAAGGCTAAGTCCCTAGATGCAGACATAAGAAACATTCTGGCTTCCTGCCACCCTCTACTCAGCAAGTATTTGTTGAGTGGCTGCCAGGCACTGTCCTGAGTGCCACTGAAAAGACAAAGTCCCTGCTTTTTTATGTATGGGAAAGCAAATAAAAACTAGATAAACAAAGAAAGTTTCTGATAGTGTGCTCAGTGCAAAAACAAAGTGGGGTAAACAAGCAAGGACGATGGTGGTTGGGAAATAAAGTTTGTTTTCAGATACAGTGGCATGAAAGGGCCCTCTGGGCATGTGTCTATAGTGACGAGGAAGCGTATCCTGGGCAGAGAAACCACAGCAAGCGCAGGGTCCCAGGCAGGACTGTGGCTGCTGTGCTCCACAGGAACAAGAAGAGTCTTGTGGTTGCAGCAAAGCGAGCAAGGTGAAGTACAGACTACATAATGTGAGAGGTAGTCAGGGGCAGATTAAGTAGTGGTTTGCAGGTGGAAGTGGCTGTTTAAGTGAGATGGAGGCCACTGCAGGGTTGTGAGCATGACTTGGGCTTTTTTATTTTTTATATTTTTTATTTATTAAAGTAAGAGAAGGGGTCGACTGGGTAGAGCCTGCTGGAAACTACTGCATCAAATCTTTGTTTCATCACAAGTTTTACATTTTCTAACCAGGATGTAAACTGCTTCGGCCTGTAGTGGGGTTTTCTATTGAGTTCGACTTTGTCCACTGGGGTGGGGAAGGCGGTTATGTACATTTAAGTTGGAGCCTGTAGTGGATCCCATATAGATGCAAAACCTCTCCCAAGTCACAGAGCCAGACTAGGCAGAAGTAAACAGAACACTTGAAACTGGTTTGCATAGTAAATGTACAGCAAACGGAGCTATCAAGGTTTCAAAAAGTCCCAAGCTAAATTACAGTTGTTAAATCCAATTACGCTGTTACTGAACTCAGGTTCGATGCTGCTTGCCACCTTAAGAGCCCAAAAACTAGAGTGACAAGGGTTAGTGAGGAGAAAAGCGTCCTTTATTCTAGATGCTGGCAGCTAGGAAAGATGGTAGACTAATGTCTAAAAAAACCCACCTTCCACAACTTATGCTTTTAAATAATCACTCTGGGAGAGATCCGAGCTGGTGGTGGCATAGGAGGACACTGAATTCAGCCCCTCCCATGAGCAAACTCAAGTATACACAAATACGGAAACCAATCACTCCTGAGAGACAACGGAGGGCTGCATGAACAGCTGAAGAACGAAAGGAGATAGAGATTGAATAGAGAAGGCTGGGAAACTGCGGGAACTTTCTGGGCCATAGAAGCTGGTGAGCACCATTGTTTTAATTCCCCTCCACATCGACAGGGCAGGCAGGGGCTCCATTTGGGTGCTTCGGCCTACTGGCAAGATCATCCCAGTGCAGTACCAGCTACACTGCTGGGCCTTTGCCGCGGAACAAAGGGAACAAGCAGGAACAGCAGGGCATCGCCTCCCACACAGGGAGCCACTCTAGTCTCATAAGCCCGTCCTCCAGGCTCTGGAAGTGCCAACCCAGTTCCAACCAGCTTCCCAAAACTACCAGGCACATAAAGCCTACAGAGATCATTTTACACAAAGCGACTTTCTGTACAAGAAACAAGAGAGAAATTATAGAGAAAGCTGGGGAGCAGGACCTCTCTGGAGACTGGGAATTCTCCAGAGTCAGAGGTATGGGTGAGTGCCATTGTTTACGTCTCCCTCCACTTCCACAGGATGGGTGGGGGCTCTATCCAGGTGATCTGGCCTACCAACAAGTTTGCTGCAGCACGTTCTTAGACACATCGCCCAAGCCCATTTTGTCCCTGAATAAAAGGAGCAGGCAGGATCAACAGGGCATTACTACACGCACCTGGCCTCCCGACCCGAGCTCGTCTGACTCGGTAGGCCAGTGTCCTGTCCAGGCCCCTGCTTAGCTCCTACTGGCCTGCCAAAGACACCCGGCACATACAGCCTACACGGAGGTCACTTCTACTTAAGGCCACTTTTTCAAGACTGGAAGAAATAGCCATTTTGTCTCATTCATATAAACAAACATGGAAAGGCAAACAAAATGAAAAAATAATATCTCTCCAATGAAGGAACAAGAAAAATCCCCAAAGGAAAACCCTCAGGAAATGAAGATAAATAATTTGCCTAATAAGGAATTCAGAGAAATGGTCGTAAGGATGCTCACCAAATTTGAGAATAGAATAGAGGAACTTAAGGAGAATTTCAACAGTTAGAAAGTATAACAAAGAAGCAGGCAGACCTGAAGAATACAATAAATGAAATGAAAAATACATTGGAAGAAATCTAACAACAGATTAACTAATTAAGAACAGATCAGTGACGTGGAAGACAGATGTAGAAATCAACAAATCACGACAGCAAAAAAAAAAAAAAAAATTTTTAAAAAAACCTAAGGAACCTCCTGGGATAACATCAAGTCCTCAAACATTCACATTATAGAGATCCCAGGAGAAAAAAAGAGAAAGGAACAGAAACTTTCAAGAAATAATGGCTGTGAACTTTCCTAACCTGGGAAAGGAAACAGGCATCTAGGTTCAGTAAGCACAGAGTTTCAAACAAGATGAGCCCAAAGAGATTCACACCGAGACAGACCGTATTTAAAATGGCAAAAGTTAAAGATAAAAACATAGCCTTGAAGGAAGCAAGAGTAAAATGAATTACATACAAAGGAAACCACATAAGGCTATCAGCTGATTTCACAGCAGCAACTTTACAGGCCAGAAGGGAACAGAAGGACATCCTTTAAAATGCTGAAAGGAACCTAGAATAAGTTACCCAGCAAGGTTATCATTCAGATTTGAAGGAGAGATAAAGAGATTCCCAGACAAGGAAAAACTAAAGGAGTTCAAAATCGTTAAACCAGCTCTACAAGAAATGTTAGAGCCTTCATTAAGCAGAAAAGGAAAGGACATAACCAGAAATAAGTAATAGGAGAAAGAAAAAAAATCCAACAGGTAAAGCCAAAATTTTAAAAAATACAGCAAATCAAACATTTAAAAAGCTACTACAAAGGTCAAAAGAAAAGAAGTATCAAACTCAACTCAAATTACAATAAGTAGTTAAGAGACACAAAACACAAAAAGATCTAAAATGGGCCATCAATAACATAAACATGGAGGGGAGAAATAACTATGTAGTCTTTATAGAAAATATTTGAACTTAAATGCTTATCTGCTTATCAGCTTAAAATAGACTGCTATAGATATAGAATAATGTACATAAACCTCATGGTAACCAAGCCAAAACCTACAAAAGATATACAAAGAATAAAGGGAAAGGAATCCAAACAAAATGGCAATAAATACACACTTATCAATAATTACTATAAATGTAAATGGATTAAATGTTCCAATAAAAAAACACAGACTGAATGGATTAAAAACATGACCCATCTATATGTTGCTTACAAGGTACTCACTTCAAATTGAAAGACATATAAAGACAGAAAGTGAAGAAATGGAAAAACATATTTCATGCAAATAAAAATTAAAAAAAGCTGGAGTAGCAATACTTATATCAGACAAAACAGATTTTAAAACAAACAATAATAAAAGTAAAATAAGACAAAGGACACATCACATAATGATAAAGGGGTTAATCTAAGAAGAGGACATAGCAATTGTAAATATCTCACATCCATCATAGGAACACCTAAATATGTAAAGCAATTATTAATGGACATAAAAGGAGAAACACATATAATACAATAATAGGGGATTTTAATACCACACTCACATCAATGGATAGACAGATCATCCATACAGAAAATGAATAAGCAAATAATGGCCTTAAATGTCACATTAGTGCAGATCAACTGAACAGACATTTACAGAACATTTCATCCAAAAATGGCAGAATACATATGTTTTCAATTGCACATGGAACATTCTCCGGGATAGACTGCAAAACATTCCTCAACAAATTCAAGAAGACTGAAGTCATATCAAGCATATTTTCTGACCACAATGGCCTGAAACAAGATATCAGCTACAGGAAGAAAAAGGGAAAAAACACAAATACATGGAGACTAAATACCAAGGTACTAAACAACCAATGGATCAAAGAGGAAATAAAAAACAACCCTGAGATACATGAAAACACTACTTTTCAAAATTTATGGGATGCAACAAACGCAGTTATAAAAGGAAAGTTCATACTGAACAGGCCTACCTCAAGAAGTAGGAAAAAATCCCAAAAAGGCATTCAAATTGGAATGGAAGAAGTAAAACGGTCACTACTTACAGATGACATGATACTATATATATAACCCTACAAAGTCCACCAAAAAACTACTACAACTAATAAATGAGTTCAGTAAAGTTGTAGGATACAAAATCAATATACAGAAATCTGTTGCGTTTCTATACACCAAAACCAAAAGATCAGAAATAGAAATTAAGGAAAAAAACCTCATTTACCACTACACTGAAAAAATTAGAATACCCAGGAATACATTTAACCAAAGAGGTGAAAGATCTGTTCTCTGGAAACTATAAGACAATGAAGAACAAAATTGAAGAGGACACAAGTGAAAAAATATACTGTGCTCATGGATTAGAAAGATTAATATCATTAAAATGACCATACTACCCAAAGCGATCTACAGATTCCATGCAATCTCTATGAAAATACCAATGGCATTCTTCTCAGAACTAGAAGAAATAACTCTAAAATTTATATGGAATCACAAAAGACCACAAATGGCCACAGCAATCTTGAAAAAGAACAACAAAGTGGGAGGTACACACTCCCTGATTTCAAGCTATACTACAAAGTTATAATAATCAAGACGTATGGTACTGGCACAAAAACAGACACATAGATCAATGGAACAGAATAGAAAGCCCAGAAATAAACCCTCACTTATATGGTCAATTAATCTACAACAGAGGCAAGAATATACAATGGAGAAATGCAGTCTCTTCAAGAAGTGGTGTTGGGAAAGCTGGATACATGAAAAAAAACCTACACTGGACCACTCTCTCACACCACATACAAAAATAAACTCAAAATAGATTAAAGACTTAAATGTAAGACCTGAAGCCATAATACTCTTAGAAGAAAACATAGGTAGTAAACTCTTTGTCATTGCTCTTAGCAGTATATTTTTGGATATGTCTCCTCAGGCAAGGGCAACAAAAGCAAAAATAAACAAATAGGACTACATCAAACTAAAAAGTTTTTGCATATCGAAGGAAACCATCAACAAAAAGACAACTTACTGAATGGGAGAAAATATTTGTCAATGATACACCCTATACGGGGTTAATATCCAAAATATATAAGGAACTCATACAACTTAACATCAAAAAACCACAAACAATCCAATTTAAAAAATGGGCAGCAGACCTAAGTAAACATTTCTCCCAAGAGGATATACAGATGCCAACAGACCTATGTAAAGATGCTCAACATCACTAATCATCGGGGAAATGCAAATTAAAACCACAATGAGATAACACCTCACACCTGTCAGAATGGCTATCATCAATCAACCAACAAATAACAAGGGCTGGCGAAGCTATGGAGAAAAGGGAACCCTCGTATCGTACACTGTTGGTTTGACTGTGCATTAGTACAGCCAGTATGCAACAGTATGGAAATTCCTCAAAAAATTAAAAATTGAACTGCCATATGATGCAGCAATTCTGAAAATTCTGGGTATTTTTCCAAACAAAACAAAAACACTAATTCGAAAAGATATATGCACCCTTATGTTCAGTGCAGCATTACCAATAATGCTCAAGATATGAAAGCAACCTAGATGTCCAGCAATAGATGAATGGATAAAGAAGAAGAAGTGGTATGTATGTATGTGTACACGTACACACACACACACACACACACACACACACACACACACACACACACAGATATTCAGAAATTAAAAAAGAATGAAAACTTGCCATTTGCGACAATGTGGATGCACACAGAGAGTTATTATGTTAAGTAAAATGGACAGAAAAAGACAAATACCATATGATTTCACTTCTAGTATGTGGAATCTAAAAAACCAGAACAAATGAATAAACAAAACAAACTAGAAACAGACCCGATATAGAAAACAAGATGATGGTTGCCAAAGGTAGGGAGTGAGAAGGTGGGAAAAAAAGAAGGCAAAAAAAGATCACTCTGGTAGTTTATGGAAAATTTGCTTCAGGTGTTAAGACTGGCAGCAGGGAGACCATGCAGAAAGCTACTGCCATAATCCAGACCAGGCATAACAGTGGCTGAACCAGAATGGTACTTTGGAGGAGTAAGTAAAGTGGTCAGATTGTATGGATACATTTTGAAGGTAGCACCAATAAGACTTTGTTATGGGATTAGTGCAAAAAGCGAAGTAAAAGATGTATTGACTATTCACATGACTCGGATACAGCTAAAAATATTTTTAACTACACCTATAACTTAAATATTATTTTAAATACATAAAAACTACTTATATTGGAGCCAGACTGCAAAGAGATCCCCCCAAACTTACGTTGCAATGTGTATTTAAAATTGTTTTACCAATTAGTACTTTTATTTCATAACATAAATTTTGATCCCTGAAAATGTTTTCTTAATCAATTCCCTCTTTGTTTTCTCATATATAAATAAAAGTTAATGGAGTAACAGTGCTAGAGACCCCAATTTTAAAAGGTTGGTGGCAATCCATTAGTTGCTTATCAGGTACTTATTAAATAGAATAGTACATAGAATCACTGAAAAACAAAGGCTACAAGCAATTCAAAGGCTTACCCAAAATATGAGACTCCAAATGAATTCAGGTTTTTAAAAAAATAATGCATCTGAATTTTAAGAACTAAAGTTATAAAAAAATTCTGGATGCTAAGGACTAAGTCTATATTTTTACATAAGATGCCCATGAAAGACTACTAGTCTCAAATGATGTTATACTAAACTATGAGGATTATTCCTCACATAGCATGATTTTTAAAGTATAGGATAACTTTTAATGGGCCAAAAGAAAATTCTAGTGTAATCAAAATTTAAATCATTACCACTTAATGGGTTTAGAGTTACTGTGAAAATGACTTGAGTATTATTTTAAGCATCATTTTTTTTCCAAATCAGCTAAACTAGCATGCAAACTAAAACTACCCTATGGAAGTAATATGTGTGACTGTACCTGTTCTACGTATTATTCGATACCCTGGAAACCTAGTGCACTCTAGCCTTTAAGTGCTAAGTAGTTTGAGAAAATCACATATGTACCTCTTAGCAAAACTGTTCATTCTAGCCTTTTACCCAGAACACCCATCAAGTTCTTTTATCAAAATTGACAAAAGACTATAATCCCTTTTCTCACCACTGCCTGAGTTGTTTTAAAAAACAAGTACCTGGCACAGATATAGAATCCTCTGCACACCTGCGACAACTGCTCTAATGATCTGAGGTCCAAATCACTGGACACCACCCATCGGAAGATGTACATCAGGACTTCCATTGGCAGCACTGCAAAAGAAAATCATCCTTTCAGGGATTCTCCCATATGTCATTCTACTGTCACTGCTGCAGGTATCTTTATTTATTCCTAGAAACTGATAAATCACACCTTCAGTATTGCTCAGATGTAAAGCATGAGTGTATTTAACTACCCAAAGGTAATAATGGTTCCTAACTAACATCAACACACAAATAGCTTTGTTTTTCCAGTATAGAATAGATCTGAAGCTACTTTTTTAAAGCATCCCTTTCCCTTGGAAGATTTTGCCACCACGGAATATTAAAATAAGTGTTAGGAAAACAGTCTACGGGTATGTGTGATCCGTATTACATTTAACAGTAAAAAGCTATTTTCATCTTCTTGAAAATTTTCAATTGTCCTCCTCTGAAAAGTCCCATAACTAACAACTTAACATATGAGAAGAGAAAACATTCATTTTTAAACATTCAGCCTATATTCAGCCCATCTCAGGACTACTGTCCAACTTGGCTAAAACCTGATGTTACCAGTAGTCCTCTAATTTTCTTAGGACCACCCCAACAACTCAGATACCACCCTCTTAGATCTTCACTGAAAAAAGTGTGGCATCCTTGAACAACTGGACTACAAATTCTGCTCTATGTCAGCCTTTGAAAAAACTTATTACTATACACAAACAGTAATTATAACTAGATCTCCAACCATACTTTGAAATAGTGCAATTTTCTGGCAAGTTATCTGACCTTTTAAGTTTGGAAAACTAAAATCTGAGGTGAAAGTCTTTCTCATGGAGTCATAACAAGCACAAATTCACACCTGATATGTGAGTCTGACTGCTCTCAAGTTCAGGTTGACACAATTTGAGCAGAGACTCCTGAAATGTGAGCTGCTGCTGGAAGTAGGACAAGAGATCTGCCATCTTGCTATCATCATCATCATTATCTTCAATGCTGAAAAAAGAAGGGAGGTGAATAAACTAAGTGCCTCAGTCTATAAACATAAAGCTTAGAAACTGATTTTTCTTAGTATTTTCAAACCTTCTTTTGAAAAAGTCATCTAAAAGCAAACTTCTTCCTTTTTTCTTTGATGTGGTAAAAGTTTATCCTGCCTTGCAAAGGAGTACCATACAAAGTCTTTTGAAGAAAAAAGCTTCAGCAATTTTAATTCCCACCCAGAAAGAATTAGAATTTTTGGGATACAGGTGTTGAGATTTAATTCATTTTATTGTAGAGATTTCATGTGTTAGTGAAAAAGATAATTTCAAGTGATTTTTTAAATCTTGTGTAAATATATTCTTTTAAGTGACCATAATCCACCCTAATTGGATAAAAATCAAATACACAGATGTCATCTGAGGTACTTACTTACCAAGGGTTTTCTAACAGATGTGCCTTATCACCCTTCCTTTAGAGATGTTAAGTGTGTAATTTAAAAAATCTTAGCAGGGTTCACATATCATCTACCAAAATAAACAAATGTGTACTTAAATAGTTCTTAGAAAAATATTTAGCTTTCCATTTTTGCTGAAAGCAACCTTAAAAATGATCAGACTTACAAAAAGTCTTGGATGAGGATGAGGTTAGAAAACTGTGTTGTTGAGGCTAGATAGACTCAAGGGCACTAATGTTTTACAGAAGGCAAAAAAAAAACAGCAAAGAGACAGACTTTTAGAGCTCATTAGATCTGATAAGAGAAAGAAACGATTGTATACTTAAGGAACTTTCATAGCATCAGGTTTGTATAAAGGGACTGCAGAGAAGAGAAACGTTTCTTTAATGTTTTAATACAAACCTTCTTACAGCACTTGGAGTCTATTTATAAACCTGGAGAAAACCTGGGTCCAAATGGCTCTACCCAAATTTATAAACGGCTTAGAAAAAGCCCAAATGATTCCTTTTGAGTATGAAGTACTTCACACTGTTAAATCTAATTTGGTGAACATTATTAGCCCAAAACTTCAAACACGCAATTAATACTGACTTCACTGGGATGTTTTCAATATGACTTACTCAAAGCTCAAGTGTTAATACTACAAGCAGTTAACAAACACCGGCAATAAACATAAGCCATCGATAAAGATAACTTCTTAATTATTTCATGACAGAGGTAATAATGTAATATAGTAGATAATATATCTCATTACCAAAACTCTATTTTTCTATGTATTGCTCATTTAAACCTGACATTATCTCATTAATACAGGCTCCTTTCCCTTCTAATATCAGCAAATTGAGCTTTTGGGGATAAAGGGATTAAGCCAAAAAAATTTTATAACTGTTTTGCAAACAGCTTCAAAGGTACTGACTTAAAAATATGTTCTCTTGATCTGTGTCCATATAAAACCATCAATGCTACGTCATGACTTTGACTCAAGTAGCATCTATACAATGAAATATGATTTCTTTTAGGAGTGCTTCTATCTTGCACTTGTGCTCTTAAACCAAGGTCAGTCTTAATTCTAGTCTACCTACATACCTTCAGAGAATAATAAATGTCTTGTTATAATTCAGTATTTTCCTAATAAACTGAAAAGCCTTTTTTTTTTTAAAGAAAAAAATGTAGAGTTTCAAACATATACAAAAGGAGAAAGGCTAGTATAATGAAATTCCATAGTTCCCATAACCCAATTTCAACCATTATTAACATTTTTTAACTTTGGCTCAATTACATTTTAATAGTTTTGACTTTAAATAGGTTTCAGAAAGTTGAAATAGGCCCTTTAATTTACTCTTTTCAGTAATCCCTGCTTTTATAAAATAATTCTTTCATCACCTTATTTTTGTTATGTCTTTTAAAATGTGCATTTCTATATTTTAATCTTAAAATTTCCCTAATTAAAAAATTTCTACAACTTTACAAACAAATCTGTATGCTAAAGATTATATAACTTAACAGAATTAGCACCATCATCTTAACATGTTAAAAGTCAACAGGGAAAAGATGCTTAACTTTAACAAACTATGTATTACTGTCTATCAAATTATATACGCACTAGCTGTTTCCAACGCCATCACCATCTGGAGACCGGGTATAAGTAATCTTGAACTCTATATCAGGTACAAGTTGCATAGCCCTACGATAAAACTTGATGGCTAAAAGAAGAAATAAAGCTAAATTAGCTATGACCACACATTTTTGTCATTTCCTTAGCCTTAACTGTGGTTTAATTTGGTAACTTTCTTTACAAACAGTCAAATCCCCTTTTTCTACATGCAACAGTAGTTCAGTGAACAAACTTACTTCCAAACCTTACTAGTCTGAAATAATTTTTCTTTTTCCTAAAGCTAACTTGTTATAGAAACTTGAGATGTTGCATTTACTCTTGTCTTTTAGCCCTTCCCATCTTTTGACTCAGCCTCTTATGTATTGTCAAAAGTGATCATATGTGGTTGTTTTTCTTTGAACTTTGAAAATGCAATTGCTGTAGCCCCAACAAAAACACTTTTAAGCAAGCTTTTCTTTCTAGGACGCAGAGTTAAGGAAAATCAAATGCTTCCTAATGGGTGGAATAAAGAGAAGAGTTTTTCGGAATTTATTCTTCAAATGCAACTTCCTTTAGTCCAGCTCCCTCTTATTTAACTGAATAACCTTTAAAACCTATTTGTTTTTAAGTAAATCTCCTGGCCAGGGAACTTAGAGTTACAATATTTAATAATGTCTTCCATGGAGATATACCAATAGAACTTGGGGCTGTAAAGGCCAACTAGTTCTTTTTCTCTTAGATGAAATCTATTCAATTCAATATGTTCTGCCATGTTCTTTTACTCTGGGTGAATTACTGGATACTAAATGGAGAAGGGAATCTCACAAAGTAATGAAGATTATGGAGGGACATTAATTGGACCCTTTTAATGTCTCGGAATAAAAATATCACTAGGAGAAATTTGCCAATTCATTAATTCTGAAATGTTATTTTGGGGGCATTTTCAAGTAATCCAAGCACAAGTGTCTTTCCCATGCTCCAATTGTCAACTTTACTATCACAAAATTAAAGCCCGGTTACAAACCCAAAACAGTAAAGAGCCCCATCACTTTGTTTACTTATGGGTTTCTATTAGTTAAGTAAAACAAACAATTAAAGTTAAAGGGTATTCTTTTGTATATAATGCAAATGAGAACTGAGAAAACGTGTATATTTCTCAATCTATCTTTAATATTCCCTTTCCCTGAAGTAATTTCACCTATAAAAGGAGCATATCCTATTTTTAAATGAGTGACAATATTTTTAAGACTTTAATAATGAAGAATAAATACTAAAACCTAAATGTAGAAAACAATTATTTTACTCATCCTACCAATATGATGTTTCCCAGCAATATTTTTTAGAAAGAGACAGGTTATGCAGAAATACAGTTTTCATTTTGATTTTTTAAAAAACAATTTAGGATATAGAAAGACTGATGTTCTATACCAAATACATTCTAGTAAAAAAAATTTGGTCAGTAACAGAGTTGTTCTTTTAGAACTGTCATGACAATATAATCCCGGGCCCTGAGTTTTTACCTTCATAAAGAGCTCCATTTTGTTCTTCTTCTACTGCTTTCAGGAAGAGCTCTCGAGCCTATAAAAATAAACAGTGAAAAACAATTTTTGAAAATCGGTATTAAAAATGAGTATGGATGGCGGAAGGATAGACTTTTCAACAAGTGGTGCTAGAACAACTGGCCATCCACAGGTAAAATTATGAACCTTGACCTAAACCTTACATCTTACATAAAAATTAACTCGAACATGGACCATGGATTAAATGTAAAACTTTTGGGGGGGGAAAAAAAAAAAGAAGAAAAAAAATCTCAGGAGACCTAGGAGTAAGCAAAGAGTGCTTATTCGTACTTAACACCAAAAGCACAATCCAAAGAAGCTAATAAATTGGACCTCATCAAAATTAAAAATTTGCTCTACTAAATACCCTGTAAAGAGGATGAAAAGACAAACTATAAACTGACAAAAAGTATTTATAAGCAACATGTTCAACAAAGGACTTGTATTTAGAATACAAAAAGCACTCTCAAAATGCAACAGTAAAAACATAAGCAATCTAATTAGAAAGAGACAAACTGTTACTGCATAGAGAGGATGGGAAATAGCACATGAAAAGATATTCAGCATCATTAAATACTAGGGCAATACAAATTAAAATTACAATGAGGTATTACTACACACCTATCAAAATGTCTAAAATTAAAAAGGAATGACAACAAATGCTGATGAGGATGAGGAGACACTGAGTCACTCTTGCATGGCTGGAGGGAACATAAAATGGTACAAGCACCCAGGAAAACAGTTTGGCAGTTTCTTTTAACCAAACATGCACTTACCATACAACCTAGCAATTGCACTCTTAGGCCAGAGAAATGAAAACTTAAGTTCATGCAAAAATCTGCACAGAAATAGTCACAGCAGCTCTATTCATAATAGCCCAAACTTACAACAACCCAAATGTCCTTCAACCAGTGAATAGAATTGGGGTACATCCATAACATGCAATACTACTGAGCAATAAAAAGAAACAAACTATTCATATACACACAACAATGTTAATGGATCTCAAAGGAATTACACTCAGTGAAAAAAGCCAATCTCAAAAGGTTACATCGTGTATGATTCCACTTATACAATATTTTTGGGAATGTTAAAATTATAGACATGAAGAACAGATTAGTGGTTGCCAGTAGTGAGGAATGGCCAGCAAGGAAGGAGGGAAGAGAGAGTGTAACTATAAGGGACCCCTGTGATGGCAAAACAGTTCTGTATCTTGATTATGGTGGTGGTTACATGAAGCTACACTTGTAATAAAATTGAACAGAACTATTTATATACATGCACACAAAAAACGTGCTTGGGAAATCTGAATAAGCCCTGTGGATTGTACCAATGTCTATTTCCTAGTACAATAGCTATGCAAGATGCCACTCTCGAGGGCGGATGGGAAAAGGGTGTAGAGGACTTCCCTGTACCTCTGAATCTGTAATTATTATCAAAGTTAAAATAAAACAAAATGAATGTGGAAGTTTTCAGTTATCATGGTAATGTCAATTATTTAACGACAAATTGCTTGTAAACAAAAACTTGGATCTGATGGTGTAAAGATGACAACCTCTATGGAACAGAAGAATAATGAAAAGTAAGATGGTGTGCCGTGCCGACTTCATGTGAATAAGCACTAGGCAAGATGTGAACAGTGAGACAGCATTCAAAATTTTTTCAGTGAGCACTTTCAAAATATTCCAGAATAAGGAATTATAAATTTGTTCAAAATATAACAAAATACTGCATTTAGACCTTTGGAATCGTGTTAATATTTGAGTAATTTTTTCCCCCTTTTGGGCTTCTATAATAAATTCAGGGGCATCAATCTTTTGGAGACCAAGCGAATCTCAGGGGTCTATAAATTACCAAAGATAGTTCCATGAAGATAGCATACCTGCAGGACAGAAACCCATAAGGAGTGGTGATATCATCCAAAGTACACAGAAGTAGTAGTGAAGGATGGATAAACTGGTATACTTGTCAAAAATTGTGCAAGTACAACGTCCATAATACTTAACTTTTCTTCTTTTGCCAGTTCTTGCTTTCCTTTGATATCCCCTGCTTTCAGAAAAGAACCTCTTGCTGCTCTGCAAGATCGAGTTTCTAAATTGCTAGAGCCTACACCTGGGACAAGTTCAAACATCCACTGAGCTCGGAACATCTGGAGTTGTGCCTAAGGGGAGAAAAGTACTTTAGGACTGGTCATCGAGGAAGAGTAGCTCAACTCTGGAACAACTTGTCAATGGGTCCAACAACAATTTCCATACATACATACTTATTTTAAGACCAGAAAACAGTCTTTTAAATTACTAAGTTAATACCATTAAACAGCTATTATCTTCTAACATAATTTCTGCTTAAGACTCTGAAATCATGAAAATTTGCCTACAATAAGATTGTCTATACAGGAAAAATCTAACAGTATGGGAAAACCAAATTTTAATTAGAATAAAAAATATAAGCCATTACTTAGGGTCTGAACTTAGATGCTTTCAAACATTTGTTTACTTGGAATACATCACCTAGTAGATGTTAAGGGTACTGCTAAAAATTCTGTAAGCAAGCCCAAAGTATTTCTTTTAATAACATTCTCTTTTTCAAAAAAGGAAATATTTTTTCTAATATATAGCATTACACATTTTTTTAATACAGGAAAAGTGAAGTCCTCTGTGTAGTGGACTCTGCTGTGTGCCCAGAGCCCCTTCAGGAATAAAGCACTAACGGCCCCAGCTCTGGGGAGTCCTACTGAAAAACAGCCCTCAGATGTCAGCCCCCTTTGGCTACTGTCTCAGAAAGATCATAACTCCCTTCCCAGGTGAACCCTACCTAAAGACTGATCAATGTAAAGTGATCAGCGACTGAAAAAGCGAGGCTCTAAAAGGTTATTCCATCCTCAGAACCTCTACAGGAATAACTACAGAGGTCCATTAAGACGGCACAGTAGCTCAACTCACCCCAACTCCAGCTTTCCTGCCTTCCTCTTGAGGTGACAAACAATTCTACAGGGTGGGGGCAAAAAAAATGTATACACATGACTTATATTCATCTTTTGTTATAGGTATACATTGAGTATTACAACTTAAATACAGGTTTTTCCTTTCTGAAAATGTGTATACATTTTTCTGGCACCCTCTTATATCTTGATGATGGTGTTTGTTGATTCCAGGAGCACTGCTTAAAAAACCTCCTACATGGTACTCCCCACCTCCTAGTCTCCTTTCTGGGGAACCCAACCCAGGATGCCCCTCCTCTCAAAGAAGATCCATTGCCAACAGGATTGTGTTAGGCCTGGCTCTTTTAAAAAAGGTATATCATAGGGCCGGCCAAGTGGCACGGTGGTTAAGAACTGGCTTGGGATGCCAGAGGGCCCCAGTTTGGATCCCACATATGAGGGTCAGTGACACTGCCCTCCACAGCTAAGATGCTGAACAACAGCTCAACCTGGAGCTGGGCTGCCATGAGTCG